TGATGATAATAAGGGCAACTGTATTAATTGCAACAGACAATCCAAAATGGTCCTTACCAGGAAATTAAAACATATTGATATTGCTTGAATCTGTTTCCACTTTTTATATGTTTTGGTTCCAATTTCCCAATTTTTTGAAAGGACCTTCATAAGTATACAAGTTTGGGGCCAACTTAATGCTCCAGCAATCAAAGTTTCCTTTGACAAGTTATTTTAACTATAATTATAAGGAACAAAGGAAACTCACACTGTTGCAGTAATTTTCTATGTGCTAGGCAATCATTTGCATTCTAGTGTGCCCTTTAGAATGATGTGTAAGGGAATGTTTATAAGCTGTTTACTGGATAATTATGAGGAGAAGTTTCTGTTCATCTGCTTGTGCAAGTTAAGGTGTTAATGTTACAAGGTATTAGCTTGTTACACTTTCAGGTATGATGTACATGAGAAAGAAGTTGGTGAAATTGCTCTAGGGATGGGTTTTGATCAGGTGTCACTGTCTTCAACAATAATGCCTATGGTTAGGATTGTACCCCGAGGTTACACAGGTAAAACATTCAGCTATTTTTTTTTTTTTTTTTTAAAAAGGAACTTAGGGAAATAGTTATTATTTTCTTCCTTGCATGAAGAACTTGTGGTTTCAGAATCATCAGTTGTTGTTGTTGTTGTTGTTGTTGTAAGTTTTCTTTTTTGAAACAACATGCTAAATTTGAGTTTGATTTACATTGTGTAGCTTCTGCTGATGCTTATTTGACCCCTTGTATAAAGAAATATATCAGAGGATTTACAGCTGGCTTTCAAGATGGTATCCAGGTTGGTTGGTTATTAAAATAAGTTTGAGAGGAATGGTAACTTGTGACGTTAACAAACTGATTAAAATAATGCTCTGGCAGGTACAGCACAGCTTTCTTTTGTTGAGTGCTAGTTCATGTATCCCCCTAGAGCCTCAGTCATTATCTCTCATTTGAGGAAAGTTACCTTCTTCACACAGAGCTTGTGAAATCATTCAGTGTAAATATTTTTGGGAAGGGTGGAGTGGGGTGGGGTGAGGAACCTTGTCACAAGACAGGATGGTTTATTTGTGTGTTATTGTCATACTGTATTTGTGATAGCTAGTTTGTCATTACTTTTAACAACACTTAAGATTGTGAAGTGCAATGGTCTTTGACTGTGTATTCTTTGTTAATTTATGATTGATCTTTTTGCAGGACAAAGTGTTGTTTATGCAGTCTGATGGTGGCTTGACTCCTGTGTCAAAGTAAGTGGTAAATTGAAATTATAAAAAATAATAATTATAATAATATAGAACAACTTACTTTATTTTTGCTGTATAACTATTGTTATACCTTGCTCTTTACCTCAATAGGAAATAAAGTGTGTGTCAACAAATTTAATCATGCAGTCACCCATAATAATTGATATTATTATAGATCATGAACTTGTTATTATTAGTATTTTTAAAACTCTTTATACATTGCTGGTCATTCACAGCACATTCAGTTAAGGAAGTGATAACCACCAAACATCTTAATATGTTTCCAAAGAATTGCCAGGTAATTCATAATGATTTTTGCAGGTTTTATGGATCAAGAGCCATTTTGTCAGGACCTGCAGGTGGTGTGGTGAGTTAAAAAATTTATACTTATTTAACATCTTTCCAAAGTTGTTCTTATTTATTTATCTTTCAAAGATATTGTAGTTGATTAACCTTCAGTAGGTGACACATCACATAATCCTACCCTGCAATACTTAAGAGGATTACAATTATTTCTTCTTTGCTCAGGTTGGTTATGCAATGACAACTTTTCACAGAGAGACAGAGCAACCAGTAATTGGATTTGATATGGGAGGTAATAATGAACTAAAACATTTTTTTTTATTTGATATTAATTAAACAAGTCTGATATTTTTATCAAAATTTGTATTAGGCCCGGTTCAGACGCTGATCTTTTCATGAGCCGAACCTAATTCCTTGAATTAAGTACATGAAAAGATTGGCGTCTGAATCAATTTGGAATGGCTGTTTCAATTTGGAATGGCTGTTTCAATTTGGAATGGCTCACCCATTCTTCCTGCCTGGCTTGGCCAAGAATTTCGCCTTTGGAACGCCTTTTGAATGGCTTTGATTCAAACGCTGTGCTTTTCGTGTGGCGATCCTAATGCATAAGTTGTTATAATGTATTTTGCAAGCAGTTTGACTGGTTTTACTGGAACTGTATTTGGAACAGCCAAAAAGAACGGCGTCTGTATCAACAGGCATACTTTTGTTAATTTGGGTCGGTCCAAATTCGAATTGAGTTTGGCTCATGAAAAGTTCGGCGTCTGAACTGGGCCCTAACCAAAATGATGGTAAAAATCTTGTAAATAATGTTTTACAGTTTTTAAATGCATCATACCAAATGTTTGAAGAAAGAGGACAGTCCAAAATTACATCAATTGAGCTGATTCAGGAAGTCTACTGTAACATTAAGTTGTCAAAGCCAAACTTTCTTCACATCTTAGAGTTAAATTTCAATTTGTTCCTAAATGATTCTTCAAGTGCATGCCTTTGTTAATTTTATTTTGCAGCTACATGCTGTTGATTAACTTGAAATTAATAAAGGTCTCTTTCTTCAGGAACATCAACAGATGTGTCTCGATTCGCTGGTCAATATGAACATGTGTTTGAGACAACAACAGCAGGCATCACTATACAGGCACCACAGGTATAGGTGACATCTAAGCAGTTGTGTAATGTATAACTTGAAAACGGGCTTTTATTTTTGTGTGCAAGTGGTGTAGCAACAATTATTCCACAAGTGATGGGCTTCTAGTGAAAAAAAAAGCATAAGATATCCACTTGGTAACACCCTGTAAAGCCTATTACACTGTAGCTGACAATGTAAATGAAGTGAAGGTGTAGTCTGATCGTCTGGGTGAGTGTAGTCCTGAGAAGGACTGTTGTCGGTGGTAGTGACTGACGTTTCGACAACCTGTGCGGAAGTCATCATCAGAGTAAGTGAATGATTGTTGTCAGTAGAGATTGTAGATTGTTGTCAATGTAAATGAACATGTACAGTAATTCTTTATTAGTTTGGATAATTTCACTCTTTTATCATTCTGATATCTCAAGAACACTGAATTCTGACACCCATAATTTCTTGTATGAATGGGTCTATGATCCTTCTGATCTTCATCAAATCAAATACTCAGTGATTTTTCCTAGAGGAGCAAATAATTTCTTTTAATTGACATGATGTTATGTGAAATGGGTCTGCAAATAAACCATAGGACTGGTGTATCTTGCATGGCCTGTCTAGTACTCACACAAGTTTATCTATTTGAAGTCAAAACCCCAAAGTGTGCAGTTATAACATGGAAATTACAAAGAAACATTTTAGTCCTTCCTGGGAATTTGAAAACCACTCGGATCTGCTTTTGATTTTATGGTTAGATGCATTACCAAATGATTTCCAGAGAAATCAATGGGCTGGTTTACCAAATTATATTTGTTGATATGAACTGGTCTTGAAAGACTTTTTTAATGATGATTATTTTTGTAGCTGGACATCAACACTGTAGCAGCAGGAGGTGGATCCCGCCTGTTTTTTAGGGCAGGGCTGTTTGTTGTCGGACCTGAGTCAGCTAGTGCCCATCCAGGACCTGTTTGTTACCGAAAAGGTGAGTTTATGCTCATGCACAAGTGAAACAGAAAAGAAGAACAGTTGGTTTGCTTTTCCTCCTGTTTCCACCTGGTCTCCTTTCCGGCCATCCTTAAGACTCATCACACAGCACTCTCTCTTCTCTCCCATCCCCTAAAGGAACTCTGGGACTTCTTTTGCCTTTCCATGCTTTTGCTAACATCACTAAAAGTTGATAAGAACCAGTTTTAAAATGAGTTTATTTTCTTAGGTGGTCCACTTGCTGTAACAGATGCAAACCTAGTGCTTGGCAGGATTCTACCTGAGTATGACGTATTTGCTGTTCTTTTTTCTAAAATCATAGCTTTTTTACAGAATTAAAAAAAAAAAATGGTTTAACAGGGGTTGTCCTGAGACACTGGCTAGGAGGCCACGAAGGAAGCAGCTGAGCTAGGTGTAGTCTGGTAAGGAAAAACACGGGGGACCCGCCTTTCCAGATTTGCGCCATCTTTTGTACTGGCACGGGCTAGTTACAAGTTCCAGTAACTACAATTTCATCGCTAAATTTCTGAAGTATAGCCCTTTTTGTCAAAACCTTATCAGTACAGAGCTTTATACTGATTCGAACAGCTTCATGTTGTATTAGGCATTGGAGAGTTTAAAGTTAGTAGAGTTTTTATTATTGTTATCGTTGTCTTTTTAACGCCCTTTTCAACAGATTTTTTCCAAAGATTTTCGGAAAAAACGAAGACTTGCCATTGGACTTCGAAGGTTCTTGGGCAGCTTTTAAGAAGTTAACAGAAGAGGTTACATACATCTTTACATACATGTTTTGTTAATACTTTCTACGAGATTAATGTTTTCCTTGAAATAAGGAATGAGTAATTTGCGCTACTTTGAAAAGGAAACAAACTCGCAAAGATAGCGCACAGCAAACATTTTCTTTAAAAAATGTCTTGTAAATTATAACAGATTCTGTGAAACGACAGATACCAGAACTTTCAGCTGGGAAGCAAGTGGCCATCAGGCCAAGCTGAGGGCCGCGGAAAAGTTTGCAAAAAGAAGGAAAAGGAAAGGAAAGGAAAACCGGAAGTTGTCGAAGATGAAACTTTTGACGACCATTTCCAGTTTTCGAAAACTTAGCATACCGTTTTCTCTCCTTTACACGGGGATACAACCAGAAATGAACAAACCTTTCCAGTTTATTTCGTCAGCTGATTTTATCTGTTTTCTTCTCCAGGTAAATGAATTTCTGGCCTCTCAGGAGGACGGCGCAAAGAAGGATCCTTTGACGGTGGAACAGGTTGCCATGGGGTTCATTACAGTTGCCAACGAGACCATGTGTCGACCAATCAGAGCGCTTACTGAGGCCAGAGGCCATGACACTTCACGTCATGTTTTGGCGTGTTTTGGTGGGGCCGGCGGTCAGCATGCTTGCTCCATCGCACGGTCCCTAGGAATGGCATCTGTGTTCATTCACCGGTAAGAAGAAAACAGCAATTTGCAATTTTTCGCAATTCATTCCTGAAGAGTAAGGTATTCGTCATTTTTCGCTTTAGTCACCTTTTTGGTCCATGAGTATTTTCGATTGAGTTACAAAAGTTTTAGCTTTTGCTTCACCAGCTTTTTGATTGGTTCTCGTAAAAACTTAACTCATTCGGTTGTCACTCATTGTGGTATTTTTGCGCTGTTTTAATTGGCCTTAAAAATTTCTTTTGGTTTGGTTTTAAAAGGGCCCTCATTTACGTTTTGGCTTTCGAAACTCTACTAGGTCAGGATAACAATAATTATTAAAAACTAGATCATTGGATAATGCAATTCAAGACTTTTTATTGGCTTAGCCATTATGGTATATTAGCCAAT